CACAAAAGTGCATAGTAACTAATAATACTATTATTATTCTATTTGACACATCATTTTTCTTAATGTTTTGGTCATATCACTTTCATCTTGAAGTAGACTTATTGCATCAAAGACCACATGTAAATTTTCAAGTATTTTATATGAATGATGCGCAATCTACAATTGGTAAGTTGTTACCTATAATGTCACTTTTCAGGTAATATAAATGTTGAATTTATGTATTAGTACTATATATGTGTTGTTACCTATATGGTGTACTTTTGATAAATTTATTCACTAATTACTTGGTTGAATTGAGTGAAGGAAAGTCATGACGTTAAATCAAATCTAATAGGTAGGGTATACCCCGAAAACAACAATATTTTTGAGAGAAACTCAATAAATTTATGATCCATTTAAACTCTAATAGAATTTAGAAGAAATATTCTGACTACAAACGGTTGTATTTCATATAGATGCTACAAATAATTGATAAAGTTTTACGCTGATTTGAGATTTTACTTAATTAAAAAAGCTAATTTGATTTGCTAAGTTGTAAATTAATTGTGTACAACTTTCTTGGCATGTGATTGAAATTAAGGCTTGAGAATGAATCTCAATATTGTTTAGCTTATTATACCATTGATTGAGGGTAAGACATCGAGATCAAATCCTAATGCACCATAATGATAAGACTTGGGTTTGAGTCCCAATTCATTATGGCCTAACATGCCTTTATATTGGTAAGACATTGGGTTTGATTCCCACTATACCATATTGATGATATAATGAAGACAAGTGATTGAACAACGAACGTGGGCGTTCCAAAGATCAAAATAATAATAATCATCACTATGATTATAAAAGGAGAACAATAAGGGTTCTCAAAATAATCCTTCAAAATGTGAAGGTAATGTTTACCATCAAATTGGTATGAAAATAATAAAGCACGTCGCTGATTATGTTCCATTCTTTGAAGAGAATGTGACTTGTGATAAGCATTGAGAATGCAAACCCATTCCTAAAGTTGAATGTGGCAATATGTAATAAAAGTAATGAATAAAGACATGCAATTCATGATTATATGAATACCACACAACTCACATCTAAGGGAGGTTTGAGTGAAATAAAGAGAATAAATATTATTGTATGGATACATGAATGTGTCATTGGTCGCGTATATGTGATACGCTAAATATTATTTTACCATGCCTTATAAAAATTATTAAAGGCAAAATTAAATCAATAAATAATTTTGCTTATGATAATTCTGACCATGACAAATTGTTATAATATAAGTTTCTCCGTGAAGGAGACATTTACCATATGAATGGTATGATACAAGATCTTGTAGTATAAAAGTTGTTAAGAGCTCCGAAAAAACTAATTTGTTACTACCCGAATGAATAAAATTATTCATGACATTGATATTGTAAAGTCTCAAAAGAAACTTTTTGAGTTTCAAATGTATAAGTCAAAGTAGTTGTCATATTGCGACAATAAATGAAAGGAAGATTGAATATCTTCTCTATACCATACCGGGTAAATATGAAAGGTTATCCGATTTTATTTCTATTTGTACTACACAAATATAAGCATGATGCTTGAATCATATGCCACAAGTAAACTAGAGGTTTACTAAAACAAATAATAGTTGGCATAACCGGTTGACCATCCCGGTTCAATTATGATGCGAAAAAATTAATTGAGAATTACATTGGCATATATTGAAGAACAGAAGATTCTTAAAGAATTCTCTTGTGCTGCTTATTCTCATGATATACCAGTTAAGGTTGAGATTGTATCCCTTGATTTCTGGAACAAATAAAAGGTGATAAATATATGGGCCCAGTCACCTGCCATGTTGACCGTTTACTATTTTAATAGATGCGTCTATTCTATGGTTACATGTGCATTTGTTATCAACCTGCAATTTGTTTTTTGCAAGATTGTTTGCTCAAATTATTAGAGCACAGTTCCAGAATATAAATTATGATGATTTATCTTAATAATACTAGTTTAAATCCAAGTTGGTTTAGCAGAAATTATATGCCTCCAATTATAGCTAAATCATTGGTTATGAGAACAAAACTCTCAAAAAGGAAATTTTGTATGAGATGTATTATTAATATACAACAGCACTTGTACGCATCTAGCCAAGTTATGAAAATTTCTCCCTATCACAATCGGTTCAGGGTCAGGAACCAAATAATTTCTATATAGAAATATGGATGTGCTATATAATTTAATTATTCCACCACAATGCACAAAGATGTATTCCCAAAGAAGGTTGAGAAATGTGTTGGTGATCCCAACATTAGGGGGAAAAAATGGCCAGCTGAGGAAGTGATACATGAAATGAATTATTATGAATACATATAGATCCTCGTATAAGAAAATATGAACTTAAAGTTCAAGTTCAAGTGATAATTCATTTACAAATTATTGCCAGACGCATTTGCTGACCCAAAGCTAAATGTCATATTTCAGCTGCTAATGCTCCAAATAGAATAAAGTTCATGAGGGAAAGAGTCTATACCACGCATGAAGCATAACAGACCAATCGGTTCCAAAGATAAAACTCCTTGAAGAAGGAGAGGGGCAAATATTCAAAATGGTCATAATAAGGAGGCAAGTGCTCTAGAAGAGCATCACGACATAACACTTCATAAGACCTCATGGGAGAGGTTCAGGTACCTGAAAATAATGAGATAAAGAAACCTCAATAAGTTATGTCTTTATTAGTTAATAATGGAACCGACAAAAAGTGATCTTCGACGATATTGTTAATATAATGTAGCGCTCAATATTATTAATATTGACGAGGATCTTGAGATCAAATCTGTCATGAAATTTGGACATATAAATGATTGGCCAAAATAAAATAAAATATACGCAATCAAGATTGATTTTCACCTGAAAAATGTGAAGTTGGACGGATAGTCCCAACACCTGAAAGTATAAAGCCAGTGGAGGTATAAATGTGCTCTTGTGCGAAGAAAGACAAGTCGTGGACATAAAGACGACTTGTGTCACAAGAAGATTTGTAAATATCCTGGAATTGATTATATAGAGACATGTTCTCTTGTGGTGGATGTAGTCAGTTCAGGTTTTAATCTGACAATACATAAAAAACTTGATATGTGTATAATGGAAATCATTGAAGGATTTAAATTGTTCTGAAGCATATTACGGTTCCCAAGAAATTTATTAAATAAAGCTTCAATAATCCTTATACGGATTGAAACAATCAGGGCGCATGTGGTATAATCGCCCGAGAAAATACTTATTGAAAGAAGGGTACAAGAATAATTCAATTTGTCCTTGTAAAAGGATCCAGATTTGAATTTGTTATAATCGCCGTGTATGTTGATGATTCAAATATCATTAGAACTCCCGGGGAGCTTCATAAAGCAGTAGACTATTTAAAGAAAGAATTTGAAATGAAAGATCTTAGAAAGACAAAATTTCATCTTGGTCTACAAATTGAGTATATGAAAGATGAAATTTTTGTCCATCAATCAACATATACTGAAAATATTTTAAAGCGATTCTATATGGATAAAGTACATCCATTGAGTACCCCGATGGTTGTGTGATCACTCGATATAAATAAAGATTCATTCCGACCTCATGAAAATAATAAAGAACTTCTTGATCCTGAAGTACCATATCTTAGTGCAATTGATGCACTAATGTATCTTGCTAACACTACAAGGCGTGACATAACTTTTTCAGTTAATGTCTCAGCAAGATATAGCTCTACTCCTACAAGGAGACATTGGAATGAAATCAAACACATATTGCGTTACCTAAAAAGGACTACCGATGTGGGCTTATTTTATGGAAATGATTGCAATCCCGATCTTGTTGGTTATGCTGATACGGGGTATTTATCTAACACACACAAGGCTTGATCTCAAACATGATATGTGTTACATGTGGAGGCACTGCCATATCCTGGCAATCGACTAAGCAATCAATCGTGGATACTTCATCTAATCATGCTGAGATAATTGCTATTTATGAAGAAAGTCGAGAATGTGTATGATTGATGTCTATAATACATCTTATTCAAGAAAAATGTGATTTGAAGTGTTACAAACTACCCACAATTTTGTATGAAGACAATACAACATGCATAGCCCAATTGGAGGGAGGATTCATAAAAGGAGTTAGGACAAATCGCATTTCACCAAAGTTATTTTCCATACATGATCTTCAAAATAATGGTGATATCAATGTGCACCAGATTTTTTCCAGTGATAATATGGCTGATTTGTTCACCAAATCTCCACCGACGTCAACCTTCAAGAAACTAGTGTACAAGATTGGGATGTGAATGATCAAGGATGTGAATTTATGCTCTCATCAGGGGGAGTTAATACGCACTGTACTCTTTTTCCCTTACAAGGTTTTGTCCCACTGGGTTTTCCTTGCAAGGTTTTTAATGAGGCAACCAAAAGACGTATTTCTAAACATGTGTACTCTTTTTCCTTCACTAGGATTTTTTTCCCCATAGGGTTTTTGCCTAGTAAGGTTTTAACGAGGCACATTATCTTTGGACATCCAAGGGGGAGTGTTATGATAAATATCATATTATGGTGGATGTCTACTCTTCTTCCATGATCTTCATCTCAAATGCTTAATGACATATTCAATGACATATTTTGTATGTTCAATGACATATTCCATGACATATTTTATTCACTTTTTATGCCTATATAAAGGCCTTGTAATAGATAAGAAAATACACACAATTTGAAGAAGAAAATCTTTCCTTCTCTCTATCTCCATTTCTTGTTCATGTTTTACTAAATTGCTTTATTTTCTTGTTCCATATTGTTACTTTGAGTTATATTTCATAACACAATTGATATAATAACAACTAATTATAAAATATTGTGGATGTTTCAATGGCCATTTAATTTTGCAAAAATGTCAAAAAATAACATATTTTAAGTGAAAAAGCAATATTTATGCCCTAATTCAAAATTGGAATTACAGTCTAACGAGTATAACTTTGACTTGTTAATTTAGTTGTGGGTCTTAATTCCTCGAAAACACTCACATCCTCTATGTTATCCTCCTCATCAACCAGGAATCCACTCCCAAACCACAACAAAAGAAAATTAAGGCTAGTGATTTTTGTTTTCGCAGATTAATTGACATATTGTCTTTCTTTTTTTAAAAAAAAAAGAGAGGAAGAAGAAGAGGGAAAAAGAAAATTAAATTCGAAGCATCATCTCTAATTCAGTTAACAGGTAGTAGTGCGACTGTGCGAGTAGCATTTCAAATTTCTCTCGTCAGCCAAAAATCTCTCAAATTAGGTCACTGCCGGCGCCAAGCGACATCACTTTCGGCGGCGTTTTTAACCAATTGACACTCCGATCTAAACATCTACAGCACAACAGTGAAGCATGAGCGGTGCGCGATTATGCGCATTGCTTGGGGAATTGGGTTACGAAGGTCACGAATTACTTGATCCTGATAGTTTCGAGTGGCCTTTCCAATACGACGACGCTCGACCTGTCCTCGATTGGCTTTGCTCTAGCCTTCGCCCTTCTAATGTCCTTTCCCCATCCGAAGTTACACAGTAAGTCACTCCTTTTTTTTTTGGCTATCAGTTTATCTTCCTACATTCTACAAAATTTCTTTGGTTTTGTGTATATAATGTCATCTGTGCGTCCAAATTTGAGATAAAAATGTAATTTAGAGCTCACTTGTTTTTGGATCGGAAGCTGTACTAAGTATCAAGCTAGTATCTAAATATGTTGTTTCCTACATCTGATTATTGTGTAATTTTTTCCCCTACTTTTCAAAGTCACTAAGCAATTTCATTTTAGCTACATGACTGCTTTAGTTGCGTGAATAATTTCGTGTAAGTGTGAAAATTGAACGTCTCAAGAGATTATGGAATTATACACTTCTATATGTCAGTAGACAGAAGCTGTTAGTATCTATTTTCTTGTTAAATTTGTTGTTTATTCATCAGTTTAATGTGTTCTCTAATTTGCAAAGTTACTAAGCAGTGCCATTTTAGTTGTGTCATGTATGTATAATTTTATCTGAGTGTTGAAATTGTTCAAAGTTACTAAGCAATGTCATTTCGAAGTCTTATATATCCTTAATGGGCATGATACCATAATTGTGATTACTTTACTTTGGGTTTTATCCTGAATGAATAGGAGAATATTTGCAAGACTTTGTGTAGTGGATTTTCCTTCTCCTTTTTTTAAAAATAAAAATAAAAAAAATGGCTTGGACATTGGCTATAGAAGTTTTAGAATAATTGATTAGATGTAATTGTTGAGTTTATAGTTTCAAGGAGAATGCATATTGGTAATCTTGAGTTTTCTACTGAGAAGTATTTTCAACTTTCATTATCTCGTGAGCTTGCCTAGGATTGAGGCGTAATAGTAGTAGCTGTTGATTATCTCTTGAATTTTCCCTTATGAATTGCTGTGTATGTATTTTGTTCGCGACTTGGTTTATGCGTTTATTAGTTACTAATATCTTTTTAATTTAGATCTCGCGGTCATGATCACTATAGGCCTATGTTCGTTTTTCACTTATTTTTCCCTTTCTTGATAAGAAATAATCATATGAAAAAGAGAAAAGGAGTATATACTGGTCGATATGACTCTATCCTCGTTCTCAATCAATCAGAATCCGAAGCGTTTTAGTTGCTTGAAATGACATCTCTTGACAACACATTACTTAAAGAATTCATCTTGTTTTTACAATTTTAGACTGTCTATCCTATTCTTCTAGCCAATTTATTTTCTTGCATTCATCAGAATTCTCTACTTCAATACATGGAACACGTTATTCATCCTTGCAAATATTTTCCTCTCTTGTAAACTAGGTATGAGCAGCTTTTACAGGAAGAGAAACTGTTGGAGGTACGATTTCATGCCTTTTCACATCCTCAATCAACCCCCCCCC